GCCTGGCGCCTTGTCCCGCCGCTGTGCCGCGTCTGGCCCCGCCGGGGTGGGCGGAGGAGAAGGGTGGCTGCAACAACATTGTATTTTGTTCACATCTGGCCAACTGTTCTTGGGATTTCTTATTAAAGGGGTCAGGTTTTCCTCTCTCAAGAATAAAGCAGGCTTTCACTAGACATTCCAGATCAAGGTCACGAAAATGCTAGGCAAGTGGCCCAGCGTGGAGGCAAGGGCAAGGCCACAGCCGCCACCAAAAAGCAGATTCTGCAACACCAGTGACTGCTTCAGGCTCTCCACCCTGGCATCTTTTCCGTATTCCTTTGCTGATTCTGATACATGCTTTCTCCACTGGAGATTTAGTTGCTTGGTGCCCGATCTTTCCTTTGGTTCATTATTAACATCTAACCATTGCCGCTTGCGTGTGCAGGATGGTCCATGTACAAAGCAAACAAACCACTGAACAATCATATCTACTGTTACTTATTCCATTCTTACTTTCCTTCTTGTCAGTTATTAAAAATCTCACCTGAAAACTGGATCTTTGCTCCAGGTCGCCTATTTGCTGTTTACATTTGCTGCAATTCAGAAAGAAAGCTGGGCCATGATCTTGCAGGGAAAAGAAATTATCAGGGGGGTTGAAATTAGTCTCTTGGACTAATTAATGAACATATTAATTGCATATACGTACAGGCAATTGGTGGTTGTTTGTTTTTTTTTTCCACATGCCTGCTAATATAATGCCCTCTGAATGTCTTTTGAGATGAGACATAAATGTTACGGACACTGTTTGGGTGCTTTCCTCCCATCCTACCATCTGAATGGGCAAAATTTGCTAGTAACACAAAATTAAACGGCACTCCTCCAGTATTTGGGTAGGTTTGATAGTTATTTGCATTCCTGAAATATTTAGAAGCTTTTCAGTACTCATATCATTCTTTGGTTGAGTGAGTCTGCTATAATTTGTTCTCTTAAGAATCCGGGATCTATCACAAGAGCTAATATCAGTTCTGCTGAGATGCCCCAAATCTGCAGTTCTGTCTGGATAATTTCAGTTAATCAGACTCAGAGGTGACTTGCCCCACTAAACCAAGCTCAAATTCGAAATACACCATGAACATACATTACACCACAAATCAGAAGAATATCCTTGGGGACAATTTTTTTTTTTGTTTAATACATGAGCAGAATAAAACTGAAAAACAATAGACAAAAAATGTAAAATAACCCATTTGTGGTTCAAAGAACATAATGTAACGTCAAATTGGGTTTATGTTGAGCTCTTTCCTAAGTCAATTTCTATAATTCTACATAGTAGATGTGATATCGCATATATTAAAAAAAAAATCAAGATACATATTAAGGACCAGAGCCAACCTCTACCATAATCAAAAGACTCCCTTAGATTTCACAGATAAATATATTAGATCACTAAATCATCCTGATACAATTTTCATCTTAAACTATTCTAAAAACAAATGATCAACTCGAAGCTGCATTTTCCTTGCTAATTCTCAGCCAAACATCTCCAGACTGTCCAATGTTTGGGAAGTAATTTTGGATATTGCATTCTCAGAATAGTAGATTTTTTTTTAATCTCGTCAGATTATTAAGTATTGTAAAAAAATCAATCAAGCACGCATTTTATGGGCTTATTCAATGAACAGATGAGTCTCTGATGTGTCCAAACAAATAGATAAGTTTTCTTTACTTGAAAACACTTAAGGCATGCTTGGGATGTGACTTTTGGCTATACTTTTCAATGCTGTCTGCTTTGCTCTTTCCAGGAAGCTGCATAATAAAATAGACTGGATTTTTGCCACACCTGGGGTACAAGAAGCCATAAAACCTGAGAGAATCAGAAAATGCCTTAAATTCAATCTGAATTCCTTTAACAGCCCCTTTTCCCCACTGATTGCTGCAAGACTAAAACTGGTCTAGACCTTCCTACCTGGAATTGTTTAGTGTAAAGTAATGATTGTTCTTCCAAATGGATTTCAACACATGTGATGGAAGGAATTTTTCTTTTCTTTTATCTTAACTACTTTGATGGGAAAATTAGCCCCCTGCTGTGAGTTACAACATGGCAGTTAACCATTACAAAAAAAGCAATTTCAGGGTGAGTGAAGTAAATATGCCACTGTTACTGGTTAACAGTTAAATTTCTCTACTTGCTGCTGGTTTTCTTCTAACTGATAAAGGGGAGAACCAAGAATTTACCATCCTCGAGTTAATATTGTTTAACATTCATCTACTGCAACCTGAAATTAAAATTTGTATTAAAAATATGCTTAGGTGTAAAAACCGAAAATGCTGATGACCTTCATACCGTTCTGCAGTCAAGTAGTGATATGTCAGCTATCTGCTATTTTGTGCCAGCTTCTACCATTTTGGTGATTTCAGGCCTAATTTGCAATCACACATCTATGGCATAGGAATAAGTCACTGAATATTTTACTCATGCAGCCATTTCGACACTAGTGCTAGTCCAAAATACTGTTGGTCTTTACCTATGGCCACACTAGTTACAATCACTTTTGTGTATTGCAATAAAATATCCCTTAAGTGGTACCAGAGCACTGCTAGCCTTAAAGCAGCCTAGAACTGGTGGGCAAAATCTTTGTCCAAAACTGGGAGCACATTACGAATCCTTTGAAGAATTGCAATGCCAAATTTTGCCCATAGCTTGACCTTTACATAGCTAATAGCAGGGCCTCTAAAGACTTTATCTTTCAAATTCAGCTGCTAACTATTGCTTCACTTGTGCTGCAGTGGAATCTCGCCATTTTCGTCCTCTTAAGGCAACACCTTCAAGTTCAGCCCCTGAAAAGCAACCATGACTGTCCAGTCCACCTTGGGCTACAGAGCCCAATATTTCACACCAGCCTTTTCAGAATGGAATATGTTATTTTCTACAGTAACGGGAACAAAACAAAACAAAACCAGAGTGTTTCCAATATGGTATAAAGTCAGCATGTTTTCCATCTTGCCTAAGTACACTGCCCGAAAGCTAAGAAAGGCTCAAACACTTCAGCCCATGATAGCAGGCCCTTCATCCATGAGAATCTGCTGCTTCTCGCCTTTCCAGGGCCTGACCTCTTATCCCCACTATTGTTTCAGTTCCTAAGCAATCTCCTATCACATTCTCAACAGTAACGAGACAAGCTGTTGAACCCACTGACACGAGTAAGAAAAAAGCAGAGACACATAATCTCTTTATGATGGAGTAATGTCAGACCTCTCATCTTACTTGAGGTTGATGCGTGAGAACACGTCAGTCAGGTCGTGTGTCAGGATCATGTGATGGACCTAAGGTCACGTAACGAGCACACGTTAGGGAATGTGATGAGAACAGAGCCACGACATAGCATCGAATAGGGTCACTGTTTTCTGCAGCAAAATGCCGTGTGGTCTCTGCCATTTCAGGTTCAGGAAAGATTTTGCAACTTGTTGCAGGACTCTGACAACAAGGCTCAGTGACAGCAAAACATGAGGTCATGAAGACAGGAACATGTCCTAGTGCTGAAGAAAAGACCAACAGAACAGACAGAATGGAAAAGGATAAAGTTTCTAAACACAGAGAACAAAATTCAGCTTGTTCTATTGCACACAGTGCTTTGAATCACACTTAACTATACCTTTGTGCATTTTATCTAAAACCAGCCTAAACAACAGCAGCCACTTTATTCCCAGTTGTAGTTCTGGGCTAATGGGACTGTCTGCATTGACAGTTTAAAGTACATAAATACTGGGTGGTTCAACTCTCTGGCACAGGCACTAACGGGAAGAAACAAAATACTGATGCACTGATGCAGTTGTAAATTTTAATACCCATGTCATAGCAATTTCCCCTACTTATACAATTGCCATATCAGAAAATCCTTAGAATACCAGGATCAATTATTTTCGCTTAGAAAGAAGCATTTGACAATCACAGTTTAAGCTACAGCTTTTGGTGACACAGGCCTTGAAACAGCTGAGATGATAAAAGAGTTACATAAGGAAAAGGCTCTGGCAAACCCTTAGAGGCACGTGAGAAAATGGTTTTCCATGGGAAAACAAATTCCAGGGGGTTATCTTAAGTAGGGAAAAAGTTGAAAAATATATTTCATGTGGTCTTTCTATAGAGTAATAAAAGTGAAGTCATCCTTTCTATGCAAAGATTTCTTAGTGTGTTACTGTAGCTACCTTTGATCAAGGCAGCTGAGATTATCAATTGAATATTCCTAATTCATTCACATAAGAGAAATTATTCCAAATGTGAATGCTATGTTTTTTTAAGTTTTCTATGGAGTCTTTCCTTTTCTGTCTATTCTTATTTAGCTGCACTCATCATCCACTAGACACTCATCTACTGTCTTGAAGCAGGCTTGTGTTTTTTTGTTAATTTTTTGTTTGGGGTTTGTTGTTTGGTTTTTGTTGTAGTTTTTGTTTTTTTTTTTTTCTTTTCTCAACATGAATAAAATGGGGCTCCTGTGAGCATTTCTTTTAGGAGAAGAAACAGGTAACAGGTTCAGGCTCACCTTTTTATATAAACAGGATTGATTAAATGTACAGATCATACACTGGGAGATCATTTCTCTGTAGACAGACATCTACATGCCTTTCTGCCATAATTTTACCAAAAAGTTCTCTGAGCTTTTTTTCAGTAGAGATTTATAAGGACTTCTCTGATGATACCTACAATTTCCTTCTCTTTCTGTGTGTTTTTCTTTGGTGTTCCTTCTTTCTCTTCCACATACCGCAACTGCAATCAGACCATTCCCTCATGTCTGCGCTGACATTCAGCCCGCAGTGGAACTAGTTGCTCATGTAATTCAATCTCACAAATAGCTTGTGTTTTAGATGGCAATTTCATGGCTAAGCAAGCCTGTGCAGGAGGTAGCCTCTCATTTTGGCTGAATTGAGAACAGCCATCATGCCCGTTTGTGTTAATAAGCTTCTTCGACAAACAGCAGATGAGCTTAAGCCATTATTTTTTTGATTAAATACAGCAAACTGCTCCCAAAGCTTGGCGCTGCAAGACAGACAGGATACCTGACATGTGCGTCCAGCTGAAGCAACAAGCAGCTCGTTGGTATTTAGAGCTGCAATAAATAGATGCCAGTTCTAGATCTCCAGTTATCTTTTGTCAGCAGCAGTATAAAATTAGACATTCTATCTGTGCTTCATCACTTGTCCCTAGCTGCCAGTTCACCTCTAAAGACAGAGGTGATACTTGGTTATTGTCTACTCTTCCAGACAATTATGATGATGACTGATAACACAGCTATAATGAGATACAATACTGATACTTACTGATATACTGGCCTATTATATCGTACGTATCAAGGTTCGTATCAGTAGATATTCGGTGTGAAGTTATGTCATCCTATTTCCAACACTTCTGTTGTGTAAGCAGCCAGAATAACAGATGGAGAAAGAAAAACAAATAGATCAACCCAGTATCTTTTCCCTTTTTTTATTGAAGAGTGTGAAATGTCAGCTGTGTGAGACTTACTGCAAATTCATTAAATGTAAATTTCTGGCAGATATTCTTGAGATGCTTCCCTAGCTTTTGCATTCCAAACATGCAGAGTCAACGGAAGCTGCCGTTAAGTTGCCAGCCATGGTGCGTGTTTGTTTCATGCTGTCCTGCAGTATCTTCTGTGCTGTCTGGTATTTCCAAATTTTAAGTATCTCTGACATCCAAGAGTATTAAATTAGTCTTGTACATACTGCCACCTGCTGTGATTATCTGAAACTAGAGCTAAAATACTGCATTTAATTTCAGCTTTTTATCAAGTATAAAGGGGGCCAACATTTGCATTCAGGCATGCTTACCCTGGAACTGAAAACCTTTGATGGCTTCAGTCTACACGTAGGTGCTGTATATAACTACTAAGGAAGTTTTTTATTTCATTACATCCTTGTGAAGTCATTTATCTTCATGCAAACCGTGTGTAAACCATCCTCGTTCTGTACATGTGAATCCACATTGAACAAAGGCTCATCTGTGCGTGTTGATGTGCATACATCCAAACACCCACACAAACGCACAGGTGACGTGGTGTAGGAAAGGAGGAGACAGTGTCTGCTCTCAGGTGACTTCCTTTTAACTTCCAGCTCAGTCCAGAGCAGAATTTGGCCCTGACCTCCATGTCTTCAAAACTCAGACCCGTGTTCAGGGCAGCGCGTTGAGATTTGTGTGCTCCTGTTGGGGCAGCCACACCGTAGGAGTCATTTCGTTAGCAGCATCATCACTTCCTCTTTATTTCCCCGCTAAGTAGTAACGAGTGCTGTAAGTACATCGTGATAACAGATCCTGCTGTGGGGCTTTGAACAGGCTTTGCCTTCGTGCCGGTTTGCATGCTGCAGCAGGACCAACCAAAAGAAGGATACTCCTGCTAGCTGCGGTATCCTTTTGCGTGTGAAAGCGGCAGCTTAAAAATAATATATAATAGCAGAGGCTGGTATGTTACTAATTAAACTTTTAAATCTCAACCAACCAGCTTGTCTCTCTATTTTAGATACACAAGTACAGCAAGGAAATTTAATGGCAAGACCTTTACTGGGGGCAACATTGTACTACGCTTGGAAAAAAAACCCATATTTTAAAAGTAAAAACTCCATCAAGTGGCCGAAGGCGGTGGGGCAAATCCCAGCCATAGCGAGGTCTACCCGCGCTACGGAGCGCTGTGGCAGGCGGGAGCGGGACTGCCCGGCCTTGCGGGGACACCCCCGCGGCTGTCGCCCGGCCCTCACC